CAAGACTCTCAAGATATAGATGACTATAGGCACCCCATGCTTGTTTTAAGTGTAAGGTTTCAGGAGCATTTTTTTTAATCCAGTCAGCAGATAACTCTTCAATGATTCAACCTTTTTGGGATTGGTTTCATGAACAGGTGGAGAAAGGGTTCGCTTTTTTTTCCAGGGAAACTAGCTCCTGGAGCTACAGGGAGCTCCCCAACCCCTTTGGCTAGTTATCAAACATTGTAACAACAAAATATAAGAAATTCTAAGAACATGTACTGTAAAAAAGAATGCTAATCCCTTCCATGGATTTTTACATGTCACCTGCCAGGATTTCGGACGTGGATACATCGGCACAACCGCCTTCTAAAACAGATCGTGCTCCCGCTCCCATCCCGCAAACCCACAGCGAACCCGAACGGCAAAGCCACGAAGCCGCTCACATCGACCGAGGCATGGCGAAGCTGAAGGAAGAGATCGTGGAAGGAACGAAGAAGACCTCCTTCCGTGAAGTCCCTTGGGCCGGCAGGTCTGGCGGTCGGAAGTGCTGCGGAAAGCGCGGCGACCGCAGACCGCTGGGGCGGTCTGCGGTCTGAGTGGACTTGTAGACTCTACTATAGGCTCTTGAGGTAGATAAATCATCATATACCCACCCCAGTGTTGGATTGAAAAAACATCTTCCTATAGGGGGGGGTTTAAGTTTGATAGTGGTCCTGGAGAAGCCACCCCGAGATGGAACTTGCGTTTAGTGAGCGTTTGCTCATTATTTGTTTTTGTTTGTCAGGCTCATGGCTGGCACGTCTCGTTTGGTGGTTCTCATTTCTTCTCACGTGGCCAGAGACTCTTTGGAGGGTCAGATCTACAACACTCTGGACAACCTCCTTGTTTGAAGAGAAACTGGTGGTAGACGTTCTGAGCGAATGATGCAAAGGTATTAACAGTGGCGAGATGGAAGCGCTTTTGGGGTTTGGTCACGGTTTGGTCACTGCAACGGCATTGAGCGGGCAGTGATGCAGTGATGCATAAGACATCAGAATTCTGTGAGCAAATGAGCACGTTCACTCCTTTTGGCCCTGTCAGAAGTTGCCAGAGGTATGAGATTGGTTGGGCTCGAAAAGGTGTAGAAGAACTATATCCCAGACACGACACTCCATCGGACGGTTTCCCTACTTTGGGGGTCAATGCGTTTCATATTCCAGTCTCATGCAATGTTTGCAAACTGTATGAGAACCCTAATCAACTCTCTTTGTGCACTGGGGATGATGGCCTGACCCAACCAACGTCGTGGGCTTTCAACCAGTGATTTCATACAGGCGGCCTTCGCCCTACAGATGCCCCAAAGGGCCCCAAACTCTAGGTGGAGAGCATGGTGCAAACCATGTTATGACAACTCTCAAGAACATTTGAAGGTGCAGCAGTTGGTCTAATTGGTCTAATAGGCAGATCAAGGCAATTTGAGAATCTTCACCAGACCATGTGTGAAGCAGCGCCAAGCAGTCAAACTTGTAAGGACCTGGACAGCAGCAGCGATGAAGAGGACGAGTACGACTACGAGAAGATACGCCTGAAGCATGACCTGACCTGGGTTTTTGCAGTTTCGGGTGAGCCTTTCTTTTCCCAAACGGAGTGACATCCGCCTATCATGGGGAGTTTGTGTTTTTGATGTTGTTACATTCCCCGCAAGTCGCAGACCTCATTTCACACTCAATGAGGTCGGTAGGGCTGGTAGGGATCTCCATCTCTAGGATCTTCCAACTGTGACCCATTTCGGCCTTTTTCACCCGTAAGACGAAAATAGCCAAGTTCGGCAGAAATGTTGATGTATAAAAAGACCCCTGTTTGGTTTGCAAACCCTCTCTATGTGGGTATATCTTCATGTTCTCGTTCCGGACAACCTGTTTTTGCAAGGATGTCCGCCGAAAGAAGACGGGTCGTAAATGTAATTTGGGAACATGTGTTGAGGGAGGTAGCCATTTTTGAAGTACCAGGAGCATGGCTTTTGCCAAGCTGATATACCCCACACATCCCCACACTACCTAGTTGGGCTTCCAGACAGGGCACCCCGACAGGAGATCCTTGGAGGGTCCTGGTATGTTTTGTAAGTTCTTGATCCACAGGTCGAAGCTTCGCTACTTTCGATTCTTCAGCCCCCAGCAAGGCGGTGGGGGTGGTGACTTCGTCCACATCCAGTGGACCATCGGCACCCCCCTTGGCCCGGCCAGTAGGTATAGGCACGACATGGGATCTGGTTTGATGTGCCACCACGGACCAAGAGAGGTTAAGTGACCGGACCTTACTGGGGTACCAGACTGGGATAGTCTACAGTTCTTCAACCTCTTCCTGAGTTCTTTTCGCTTCCCTTTTCACTCGATGTACGTCTCACTGCTTTGCCCCAGGAAGAGTCTCTCCCTTCGCTTTCGCACCTTGCATTTGCTGCAGAGGATTGAGGATCTCCAGGCTGCATCGGCTGAAGGGGGTCATAAGATTTGGGAAAGAAAGAGACTGTTCCACTCACAACCTCACTCGAAAGATTTGGGGTGACTGAGATGTTTTCGGGCCAGGGCAGCCTGGCGCCAGTCGTAGCTGAGTGCTGAGTGGTAGCTCTTTCGTCCTCGGCTTGACCGAGCTGCCCAGAGACCAACAGTTGACCCTGAGAATTCACCCGTGCTTTCGACCATTTTCCGAAGACCAACCCAGTGGTGCCCTTGGGGCGCAGGAGATTGGAGGAACGTACATCTCAGCTGAAGGGACTGGACCGCCATCAAACAATCTAATGGTGGTGGTTCAACCCCTGACATCAGACGCCTCCAGTCCGAAGTCCATGGGAATTCTCGGATTTAGGATGATTTAGGTATAATAATATACCAGGGGCCCCACAAACCATCAAAAACCTTGTTTTCCCTAGCGAAGAAAATGTTTTTGTATAGAACATGTTTTTTCATGTTTTTGAGGGGTTGTGGTATATTTATATCATTTGCTTTCCACCCGTTTTCGACCAAAAGGGTCACTTCCGGGATGTTATATAAGTAGCGTAGCTTCCGGAGCTTTACCACCAGTGGACTGCCAGGATCAAGAGAAGGTGAAATTGCCTAAGTTGAAGCTCAGCAAGGCCGGGCTCCAGCTCACCCAGGCGGGGGCTCCAGCTCAGCCACGCAGGGCTCCATGTGAAGATGGAAAGAAATGAGACAAAGAACCACATCACTGATCATCACTGGCACGAACAAGAGACTAGTGCTCGGGATGGTCACCAGATCAGCCCAATGAGTAACAAGAGTGCCGTGCTTTTGCAGAGTTTAGCAGTGTTGACAGGATCCAGTCAACTAGTTGTTGGCCAACAACCTGAAGGGGAGGGCGGTCAAAATCACTGGCGGAGGTGAAAAAGTCAGGCCGTCCCAGGTCACCATAGATTCCCTATGCACGCCTATAGTCACGCTTATATATATAATATATATATATAACCTGTATTCTTAGTCTTCGGACATCTCTTACGTCGTCAGCAGACTCTTGTGGCGACTCCAGGAACCAACCATCCCCGAATGCAGTCTGCATGCTGAGTCTGCATGCTTAAGCGCCCCTCGCCAGGCACCTCCCAAGAAGGCATTCTTGAAGAAGAAGCGCTCACCCTATGATCTAGCTTAGGCGGCCCGATCTTTGCCCAGACTTGTGCACCGCAGGCGGTGATCGAATAAACGTGCCTCCGCGTGCTATGCAAATTGCATGGCACTCGGCAGGGCATCATGGGGATTTTAAATGTTTTTTGTGCGCCACGGGCAGCAGGCTCTCATCACACGCACCACATGACCTATAGATAGTGGTTTGTAGGTTTGTCACTGGTTTGCGTTTCACGTTCAGCTGAGCTGTGCCACAAGCGTTACTAGGTGATGGTTTCGGATACTTTTATTTTCAATCCTTACTTGGGGATGATTGGACCCTCTGACTAATATTTTTCAAATGGGTTGAAAACACCAACCAGTTTAATATAATGCTTGTCTCCATCAAACTCCCATTTTTATGGGCCCATTTCGAGAAGTGTCCGCTTGGATTTACAGCTGTCCGTGGAGCCAGGCACGTGTGTTTTGTGCCTCCAAGAGGCCTCGACTTATCAGCCTCGGCACTCGGAAACGAGAGGACGACTGAGGACTCAGAAGCTGGTCCAAGCAACATGGCGTCAAATGATGTCAAATGGTTAAACCATGTTAAACCTATTATGTATATTGAAATAAGATATTACAATGTATTTGCATTGTGTACATGTCAGTTGAAGAAACGTTTTTGCACCTTGCTTTTGACCAGCTGCCGGAACAAAACCCAATGCTTTTCCCTAGAGCGCCACTGACAGCATGGCCTTCATCGGGAAACTCAATTTGCTCATTCGCGCGCCCCCCGTGGTGTTGCCAGATACAACGGTGTGGAACATTGGACTTCTAAAGGTTCTTGCCGGCTACGTGTTAAACATACCTCTAGGTGCTTTGGAGGAGGGCGTGTTCATACCTGGATCTTCCAACTTAAAATTAATGTTTGCCTTTTCATTCATAAAACTAACATAAACTAACCGGGTTGGGCAGAGATGATGCATAGTTGGAAGAACCTGGTATTCCCCTTGGAACAGGGGAGCTGTTTGAAGCCGGAATTCCCTGACCAAATATCATGCCTTCTCTTTTGCAACCGCCTGCAGCAAGCGCGTACTTCCAACGAAGGCACGTCCGTTCCAAAGAAGCAACGGTTCCAACGTTTTGACAGGTTGTTGGCGTGTTCGGTACCTAGCACTTCCGGGCGCCCTGTCTGGAGACTTAGTAGGGTATCTTAAGGTGATGGTTCTTCCCGAACTGGGGGAATCCCCTGAACACTGGGGAAGATTTATGGCGTGTTCTTCTCCCCGCACGTTTTCCATGATCGTTCACGATCCCCGGTGTGGTCGTCTTTGGCCAGAATCGCTCTGGTTCCGCTGGCGCAGCCTGGCATCCGCTGGAGTTCCAGACCGCCGATGGGCTGAAACAAGAGCCGACGGGACTGAGGATTGGCTGAGTACGTCCGCCGCGGGTGGTGATGCTGGACCCATTCGACTGACGCCCATGGGCGACGAGCTGCGAGATGAAGGCCACAACCGTTGGGGGCCTGGGCGATGAGGGGCCAAAACAGGGTGTTGTGATGTGGGATGCACAGGCCACACATTTAAAGGATTTTAACGGTATATATTGATATATATATATATACTGTAATAATGCATATTAGTAGTATTGGATGTCTATATTTTGAGTTAGATAGCACTGGCTGGCTGGTTGAGCTTCATGGTGATTTCGACATTTCAGTGGGGTCTTCTCAACGCGTTGGGAGCCCAAAGGCCCTGCAGCAACAATTGAAGATTGTTTGATGCCAGGCGGTCGGGGATGCTTGGTCGCTTGGCACGGCGATGACGGCTCATGTTTTGGACCATGTGTTTGCTTCTCGCGATTAAGAAGAAGAAGGAGGAGGAGGAGACAAACAGGAATAGGATGGCAATGCTCCCACCTTCGATAGAACATGTTTCAAGTTTAAAACATGTGAGGTTGGGGAAGTTGGGGAGTCTTTCACATTTTCAGAGTTCTGTTTCAGCACCTCAGGTGCCAGTTCCCACCTGGCACTCCGTGCGTCGCTCAGGTCTTGGTGTCGCAGATTGCGGGCGCCTTGGATGCCGAACGCGGGGGAAGAAGATCGGCCACCGTTGGACGCGAAGCTCCACTGAACTCAGGAGTTACCGCACTGAAAACGCACATACACGCTGACGAACACATCACATGGAAGTGGATGGCATGGCCGCTTGGAAGACAGGGGGTTTTCCACTTCCATGCTAGTGAGTCGGAGTGTAGACCCTGCAAAACCACTGGTTTGTAGAAGAAAAGCAGCCTGACTGAGGGTGCCTGCCTCGACCCGGGTCCATGCCTCGACCCGGGTCGCGCACCCTCCCCGCGAAGTGGAGTGAAGCCCACCTGTTTGGCATTCTGATTTTCATGGTTCTTTTTTTCCGAAAAAGATGCCATCCACGCCTCCACAATTAGTTGCAGGCAGGGAATCAGAGAACCCGGAAGATTATCCAATGTGTTCTCCCCAAGGTCAACACAACAGAGAATTCTCGAACTCCGGAATGTCTCTGTGCCTTAAACCACCGGACCTGTCCTCCTCCGTGCCTTCCGCTGGGCGGCGCCTTGCGCTGCGCGCCCCAAGGTGTGGGCTCCGTGGCCGAGGCCCAGCGTCTCCTAACGATGCTCCGCGGCCTTCGGCGGCGCTTCATCGAGCACGGTCTGGAAGGCGTGGAAACCGGGCCCCGTTTTGCTCCGCGAGGACAGGAGGAAAGCTGGGAAAAGCAGAGGTAGCCCGTGACCGGACCCAAAACATATCTGGTACCAGACTGGGATCGCCGCAACTAGGGCTCTGACCCACCTCAGTTGGTGGGAAAAGGGAGGACAAACATTGTAGAAAAAACTCGAGACATGGATGCGAAAAGCCGTGACCAATTGTTGAGCCCTTTTCGTGCATCAACGACTGCCCAAAGGCAGACATTTGTCACAGGTCCAGGATGTTCCAGGTATGAAAGGGTGCAGGAACCCAGATACGATCATTAATTGGAAGATACTGCATTGACCCTAAAACCATCTAAAATCACCCCAACTGATTGATAAAGTCTGCCAGTCCCATGGAGTGTTTGATGAAGGTGGATGGATGATTCTAATGAATCCTGGGCTTGGTGGATCAGGTGATTCTTGGATGTTTCTCTTCTCGGGCTTCTCACCCCTCGGTCCTAAGAGTTGATGTGGTTCTTCCTGGCTCCTCCAGCAACCTCCCACAGTCTCATTTTGTTCTCATTGGGCGCTGCTTTTAAAGCCCGTGGCAGGGGCACTGCCAACAGAGGTTAAGTGACCGTAAATAGGACCCTACTGGAGTAGCTATGGGGTAGTCTATAGGGTCCTTCAACCTCTGTTGGCGGTTATGGGACTGCGGGAGGTTGTTGCTGAACATCTTATTTGTTCTTGGGCACTGCCCAACTGGTTCTGAGCGGTCAGCGGTCAGTGTCTCGATGGTTGGGTTTGTTGGACGCCGCTTGTTTGGGGTACAGGATGGTCTCTCATTCCACTATCGTGCGCACTCTGTCACGCAGAACTCCCCTCCAGCCGTTCCATCGAGGGGAACTTAAGAGCTCTGAATGAGCTCTTTTCTGGACGCCAAAGCCCATGAGGTTGGCAGGATCGACGAGGCCCGCCTCTACCAACGAAAGTGTCTTCGTGATCAAACCCTGAGAGTCCCCAAAGCACTCCGATGTCCGACCAACGTCTCAGAGTCTTAGGGTATTGATATGTCTTGGAATCCAAGAATCCAAGCGTTCGTTCACTGTTCCAACAGCCATGATGTGACAGGCTGGCCGCTTTTGACCCGAAGTCTGAAACAGCTGCATGGTCATACGCTCCCAGTGCTCCCGGCATCCTTCACATGTCTGTGACAGGCTGGGCGGTACGCTCTTCAGCATCTGGGCAGGGAAAATGGAAGTTCCAAAGGTGCCAGAAGTGTCCAGTGAGTTGACCTAGACACCACTCATCTTGGGAAGGCCTCTTGCAGATTCTGAAGTCAGCGCTTGACCCCAAACTTCTGTGTTTGACAAAAGTCGGTGTTTCCGGAGATTCGCTGCTGGTGTTGGGCGGCTGCCTCATGGAGGTTCTGCCATACATGTGTTGCCAAAGTACTTAGCCAAAGTGCTTGCCAACTGGAAGAAAAGGTGGTCACTACTTGGAATGAGCAGCTTCTGACATCAAAACGCATTTCCGACTTGGGGCCGCTCCAACAGTGACCCCTGCTGTACCAGACCTGAGTGTCAAACCAGGCGGGACCTTCTACCATGTTCTACCCTCCGGTGTTCGCGGGAGAGCGCTCTGACCGCACCTCTGAATGGATTCGTGGGGACCAGAGGTTGAAGGACCCGAACTAGACACACTGAACCTGTCGGAGCTTCAACCATCCAGTCTGTTCGACCTTCGATCCATAGCTCGACATGTTCGAGCCGCTCTGGAAGAAGCTCCCGGAGCTGGGCGGTCTCATTCCGCAAACCTGGCAGTCTGTTTGGGTGGAACATGAAAAAACCGCCCACTCTGAGGCAGTGAATGAGATGGCAGCTTGGACGTGCACCCGGCGGGTTGTCCGCAGTGTTGCGTGCCTCGCGGCGGTCCGCGGTGCGGAACGGATGGGGGCTGATCCGGCGATCTGCTGCGGTGAAGATCGCCACCCTAGGAGACCAACAGAGGTTGAAGGACCCGTAGTTCGCCTATCCCAGTCTGGTACCCCAGGTGACGGGTCCTATTTACGGTCACTTAACCTGTCTTGGGAGGCACCATTGATTTCATGAGTTCATCGAACCAACCCTGAGTTTTACGAAGCACTTTTCGAATCAAGTCAATGGTGAGGTGTCTTGGTAGTGGTTTTAAATGGTTTTGGAAGGCTTGGAGCCCATCATTCATCATCATTCATTCTTGGCTAATTAATAAATTAGGTGAAGATAGTTCTCAGACGGCTTCCAGGATTCCTACGCATTCAAGATGGTGTTCAATCATTGCCCAGAAAATCCCAGAGCAGCATGGCTGTTAGAAGCTGGTCGAGCGACTCAACGGATTTTCCCCTATGCAAAATCCGCTGTCCAATGGATCCAAGCCAATCACAGTGCCAATCACTACTCTAGCCCTAGACACCCCCGCAACTCGGGGTGTCGTACAGACAAAAACGTTCCGATATGAGGTGATATAAGGGGTATCCTTAACCACCCCCTGGCCCTGGGGGCGGATAGTCCTTGCCCCATGGCCCAGGACTCCTTTCTGCGGAAGATGTCACTGGTGCTCGAGGAAGCAGGTCGAGGCCGGTCCAAGGGCCGGTCGACGCCCCAAGCGACCGGCCCTACCGTGGTTTCACGACGGAACTGACATATCTGGATCTGAGCTGTTTATGCCACATGTCTGCCGAACTTGGCTGCGTTTTGAGTGGATGAACAGGTGAACATTTGTCACAGTTGGAAGATCCAGGTATATGCCTACCAGTTGGCTTTCTTTTTTTAAACCACTCCTGGCCTGATCGGGAGTCATATGCCAATCCCATGAAGTGCTGGAGTGCTTGGGAATTAGATGGTGCTGGGGAGTCCCAAAATGTCTTTTGGATGAGGGGGTCCTTTTCAACCACCCAACTTAGGGGTAACTTGTGCCTGGTGCCATCTACTCTAAACCGCTGTACTCGTAGATCTTCCAACAAAATTGATGCCTCCTCATTTGTCAAGCCAGGATAAGCATTGCTCATATAGTTGGAAGATCTACAGGATCCTGCGGGTATCATTTTCTTCCAACACACACTGCAAGTGGGTGACACCATCGAAAGCAGACCGACCCACAACCACATCCGTGGAAAAAAAACACGTGCCAAAAGGCTTAAGGGCTTAGGTCAACCACACCTCCGGCGCGCAAGCCTAATTAGATTGCCAAATAGGACGAGAAGACATTGCAGTGCGCCAGAAGCCTTCGTCTCAGTGTGCTGTTTTGTGGAGTGGCTTGTCACTGTGAGGACTGGAGAGCAAAGCTCCGTAAAGGGGGGCAACAACCAACTTCAAGCAACATGGGCACCAACAGTTCGATGTCGGGGTTCCTAATCAAGGACAAGTGGGCACCCATGATCCACTCAATGGATGGGACAAAAGCCACCTCTTTGGAACTGCTGGTGTGTAGAATCATGTCGATGGTTCATGGCTCACAAGGGATGATGCCACTCGAAGTTTGGTGCAGCACCAAATGATCATTATCCAAGTGGCGGTATCCACATGTATCCACCTTGCGATGTCTTCGCCCAAGTGGTGAAGTTAGATCCAACTAACTTACTATCCAACTTATTGTCCAACTAACCTTAGAGTGGTCAAGTTATTATCCAACTGGTTCTTGCCCCCCACTCTTTGGCATTCTCCTCCACCCTTCTCCGCCTTCTCCGCAGGCAGCTATACCTTAGTCGTCACGAAAGCCGGCTTCGGCCAGCGGGGACGTTTGGCCATGGTGGCTCTCAGTGGCCTGGTGGCCTTTCACAACGCAGCCGCGCGGCGAAACCGGCGAGTTCCGTGCCAGGGCGTTGGAACTGCCCAGGGGGTCACCGTGGTGACCGTGGTGGTGGGAGTCGGCACAGACTGGGGCTGCATCTTTCGGTGGATGTCTTAGCATGTCGACGCTGGATTGAATGGAGCAGCTCCAGACATGGATTGTCCAACCTCTTTCAGGGAGATGGACATATCCAAGAGTCTAAGACGTCTATGAGACATGTTCTATCATTTGCTCTTGACTTATGATTATTTAGCTTGGTTATTATACTCTACTATGAGACAGAATCGGAGGACCTTTCCCACCATGTTCGACCCGAAACTCCTTCTGCCTCGCACCGAGGTGGGCCACTGCCGCGCGGTGCTTTGCGCCTCCGGCACCCTGGTCCGGCTTCCCGGCTTCCGGGAGGACGCGAGGAGTCTGAAATGGAGCCTGAGACATCGTGTGGAACACAAGAGAGGTAGCCACCGGGACCATAGGACCCAGAACACCTGGGGCCTATGGGCTAGTCTATACGGGTACCGTTTTTGGGGAGAGATGGAGAGGCTGAGAAACCATTGCCAGGACCCGACTCTACAGGTCACCAAGGAAGAGACCTCCAACAGGACCCATCCCAACCCTCAACTAACGACCTGGCAGTGAGGGTGCTGGTTGTTAGACATTTAACTTGACACTCCTCTTGATGATGCTCAGGCACCTTTCCCTCTCTTCAAGCGCGAGCTGGGGCTGGAGCTTGAAGGACGGGTGGGCTTAGCTGGAGCAGAAATGAAGGATTTCTTTGACCTATCTTCCTCTCACTCTCTCATCCTCCACCAGAACCGCCACCAAGGTCTTCATCAAATCCTCAAATCTCAGAACGATGTACCAAGGTTGTTCTGAGTGTCTTCCACCAAGGTCACATACTCTCTCATCCTCTTAAATGGCATTCTCTGCCACCAAGGTCTTCCGGGATCAAATCTCAGCCACTGGCCACAGAACGAGCAGCAACACCACCCGCCACTGGCCACAGGAGCAGAGCCTACGCTGTTCTCCAGCCGAGTTGTGGCAGAAGAGATCGGGCAGCCACTTGGCCAAGCAGGTAAGGGGATGCCTTTGAGGGAGAATCTCCTTCTTATGTGTTCTCTTTGAATGTGTTTGATTCATTCAAGGGGAGAATCCCCCTTACCTTTGGATGAATTGTTGTTCTCTTTGAACGTGTTTGATTCATATGCTTAAATGTGTATAATACATCCTTGGGTCAAATGTTGCCATTGTTTACCATCTTAGACCTTTGAACCGCTCATAGAGAAAGGTTTAGATATTGAACATTGCCTGTGGTATTTTTTGGCGTGTCAAGATATTCGCAGCTCCACTTAGGGGAGCATGATGGGAGCTGTTACTGTACCAGTTTCAGAAGATGTCCATGATTTCAGATGGAGGAGTTGTAATGGATTCCACAGGGCTTGCCCTCGGTTGCACAGGAGTTATCATCGATTGCAGGGGAGTTGTCATCGGTTGCGCAGACGTTATCATCGATTTCACCGGGGGAATCCCATCATGGGATTCAAGATGCTTCAAGGAAGTTGGTTGGAATTTGTAGCTTAGTCCGTCGATTGCTAAAAAGCGAAGACGGACCAAGGAGGCACGGCACTTGCTCTCAAAGCCCTCTTCCCCAGAACACGGCTTGTCGATGGTCGATCACAAGGCCCGGACACTCCCATGTAAGCAATACTATGCTTACACTGATCCCTCAAATCCACCCCAAGGTTTAACGTCCCTGTGGTTTGAGTGTGCTTGGAGTTTAAAGGAGATTGAGAAGCCGGCCCCCCATGGAATTGCGATGAGTGCACCATTTTGGGAAAAGACATTTTGGAAACCAACCATATATATAGGTAAAATGTGCCAGTCCCATGCTGTTGCGGCTTCTTTTTTTCCGGGCCTCTTCCCATCTTCTGGAGTCCAGACTGCGAGCTCTGAGGTCACCCCACGTGAGCCGGAGGCTCAAGGTCTTGGCCATCAAAGCCGTGGAGGGCCAGAAGCTACTGGAAGGTCGAACCCAGACGACGGAGTTCGATTCGTGCCGATCGGGTCCGGCTTGCCGCGTTCAGCCACCAACCCTGGGGTCCACGACCCTCGGAGGGTCGGGGTGACCCGGACTTTCCCCCCCCAGTTCTTCAGAGCTGCGACCATCCGGAAGTTCAGGGCCATGAACGATGAAGCACCGTTGGGGCCCCCTGCTCTTGGCCTGGCGGTTGGGGCCCCCTGCTCTTGGCCCTTCCCTTGTGCCTCACCCCGGATCCTTGGGAGGGTTTTTGCGTGAAGATTGGATCATCATCCATGACTGGCAGGGTCAACGCCAAAGCCGGGAGATGCGCGGATCTCCAACCGGGTTCCCTGCTGCGGCGTGGGCATCTCCCGGCCCAGCGGCGTGGGATCAACCAACCTTTTTTACTCCAACGTGGAGGGAAGATGGGTGGCCTGCTACGCTGGTTTGGAAGATGAGTGATGAGTGGGTGGTCGGTTTGCTTTTGAGAGATTGAGAGAGTGCCATGCACGGTGCTTTCGATCGTGATCTTATTTTGTTTAATCATGGAATGGCCAAGCTATCCTGAGCTGCGAGCTGTTTCGAACTCAGGCTACGTTACTCACTTGAGTGATCAAAAAGAAGCCATGAGCAAGTGCAAATGTTGCACCATGTTGCACCATCCACGTGTCCACTCAATTGTGGCCTGGCCTTTGTGTTGTTGCAGGTTTTTGTAGGGCATCCAAGATGGTGACGCAACCTTTCTCCCATTGGTGGGCCCAACTCCACTCAGATCGAGAGTCAAGAGGGCACGGCACGAGTTACTGCGGCCCAGTTGTACCACCTGAAGGTCTAGTGGATCCGGTCTCACGGACCGACCTGGACGCTGCACTCCAAGGCTCAGTTCCACTCGCAGCTTTCGGGCCCAGCATGGGGCTCAGTATTTGTCTTCCTTGGCGAAGGTCCTTCAGTTGCTCCTGCCAGCGCCTTGGGACGACCATCGGAAACGTTTCCGGGTTTGGGACGGTTTCGGGTGGGACCTGCGCGATGGGGTGATGGTGGATGGGTAACCAGAAGCTCATTGATTGAGTACCACCTACAGCGGTTAAGTGACCTGAACTAGGACCCGTCACCAGGAGTACCTATAGGATAGTCTATAGGGTTCTTCAACCTTTGCTGGTATGTTCTTCTTGCCTTGTACCAGAGCCCACTTTCCGTGAGGTCGCGTAAGACGTCGGGCATCGGAAATCTCATCGAGAACGTCCATAACCCGTGGATCACATGACCGGGCAGGCGGTCAGCTGCTTTGGTCAGCTGCTTGTTCATCTGTGCCATAGGACTGCCGAGAAACGGCCAGGGGTGGTTTTGGGGGTCAATGCATATATGGCATACATGGAGTGTTTGGGTTAGTGAATCTCCCTCCTCAAGGTTTGGAGCCCTAGGGGTAAACATAGGATTTGTTTATCCCCCGCTTTTCGTTTGGTCCGCTTTGGGGCCTCCAACCATAAACAATAGACTCAATAGACATCAACATAAGTTCTCAACAGACCTTCTGGCCCAACGTGTTTAAATGTTGCACTACCAAACCACAAATTAGTTTGGTCCAGCGTTTTTGGTGTCAATGTTTGTTTACCCTATGGATCCACATACCTCACCTCAGAAGGCAATTGGACCCTCCTGGCGCCTACATACATAGTCTCCAATCACCGTACCTCAGGTTCGGTATGTGGATCCATAGGGTTAAACACTAACAGCCTTGCTGGCCTTCTTTCGGAAACCACGCCAACCCCCCCAAGAGGTGGTTGAGGCGGGTTGCCATCGAACTGTTCTGACCAGTGGATCGAACAGAAGAGTGATAGATAGGCTTGGTTGATTGAAGTTGATTGTGTTCCTGTAGGTGGATGCCCTTCTAGGGGAAACGTTTGTGCATGTTTCCGGAACCCACATCCGCGAATCCCAATATCTCCTGCGTTTCAACGGACCGTCATCTCGACTCGGGTTTTGACAGACTCCTCGTAAAATCGGACATACCCGAGGCCGTGCCCCATGGCAAGCTCATCTTCTTTCCCTCGCACGAGCAGTTGGCCGATGCGGTGAATCATTGGCAGCGCCTGGCGCTGCTGCAGCGCGGCGCTGCCGGCGGCTTCGATCGTTTGGGTGGCATCCCGGTGGTCATTGCCGCTGGGCCACCCGAGGGTTCGACGGTGAGGAAGATGTGGTACCCAGACACGACTAATGGGACTGCCATATATGCCGAGAAACGGCCAGGGGTGGCTTTGGGGGGTAGGCATATATGGCATACATGGAGTGTCTGGGATATACCGGAAGAATGATCTGTTGCGCCGGGTTTGGGCAGATTAAAGGTCTACATTCTTCGCGTTCGTCGAGCGAAGGGAGATTGGAACACCGCCTTTGATTCTTCGGCCCCACCGGGGCCCTCGGGACACCTGACACGATCAATCTCATTATCCTATAATCTATGTCCTGCTTGCTCCGGTGAGGTGGAACCAACATCTTTTGAATGTGTTGAAACTACCGGGTTAAAGTACAGGTTCCGGTTTTTACACAGGTTTACATGTTCCCCTTCAGGTTTCTGCATGGATCCATGCAAACGCCTGTGCATGACGACGCGTGCCGGTGAGTCCATGGTGGGATCGAAAAGCAGTGCCACCGAAAAGCGGCTCAAAAAGTACCTCGGAAAATGGGTACAAGTACCTGTGTGTGTGTGTGTCAAGCCCTGTTTCTAAGGGTCCACCGGTTCTCTCGCAGGGGGATGAGGATCCCTTGGTGTGCCTCATCTAACAAAGACCGCACCAAGTGGATGTGATATCAGTGCCCGGCCAGCACTGACGTACCTGCCTTTCAATGTTTAAGCCTTTTCTGCAGTCGCACATTAAGCTTTTGGCCCTGCTTCCTCTTGAAGACCTCCAGGCCCCAGAGGTTTACTTGCGCTTGCTGTGAAACTTTGGTTAAACAACACCGTTTTCGCTGACCTTTTCACCTTACGTTTCCCTCACCTTCCTTCTCATCGTGGCAATTGAGTTAACAGCAAACCAATGTCAGAGTGTGAGCCGCTCAGCCGTCCCACTTAGGTGCTGGGTGTGATCCCCTTCACTGGGGCGCTGAATTCACGCTGGA